CGCGGTTCTGACCGCTGTGACCGCTGCCTGCCACGGGGACGGGGAGTCCAGGAGGAATAGACGGCCTCACTTCCCCAGCTTGGACACAAATGAGGTGATAGCTCTTTTAATGTTGAAATGAGGGTTTTGAGCTCTCTGTGTTGTTAGATTAATAGGAAATCTGGTATCTCCGAATACAATGACCTTCCACTCCCTGAATTGTTGGTGAACCCCAGGGGCTGACTTAGTCTAGAAGGCCAGCTACCACTAGTAGTAATATTCGCTGCTGCTACTACCGGAATAGTTCAGGAGCATTGCTTCATCGTCAGCTTCATGTACATTTCCAACTGCCTGCCGATTACCTAAGCTGCCTTTGTCAAAACTAGCCTCATTGTATCGCCACTTCCCTGCACCCTTCTAATTCTCTGACTGGTGTTAGCATCCATCCAGTCCCCCAAACTAGAAACCTTGGAGTTATCTTTAATTGATTCCCCTTCACATCCCACCCCCATCCCCACATCCAGTGAATCACCAAGTCTCTCTGGGGAACCTTCTTAAATGTCTCTCTTTCCATCTTATCTCTCCAGTCCCATCCCCCAGTACTGGTACAGACGGGCACGGTCACTCACATAGCCTTTAGCAACAACCCGCTGGCTGGTTTCCCCTGCCCACACCACTTTCACCATAGTTTTGCCAGATTTGTTTTTCTAAAGGAAAGGTCTGATTATTCACCATCCTTATATTAAAAGGGGTAATGAATTTTAAACTACCCAGAGATAACTACCCAGTTATCTCCAGCGCAAAATTTTTCTTCCTTAACCTGGTACCTTCCTGGGATGACCTCACTGTACGTTTCCACTTCATCACCTGCCACTTCTCTTTATGAGCCTTAAACTCCCGGCACACAGACTGCTCTTCAGGAAGAAGGGTGGGAGGTGATACAGCTGTGGCATCAACTCAAACAACAGTGAGCTTCTGTCTGGGGCCAGAAGAGTGATGTTTGCGAGGGGGCCACCGTCCCCAGCCCTGAGGGAATGGGAGGTGAATAATTTTCATGAGGGGCTGCAGGGAGGCAGGGACCTCAGAGAAGAGCTGATTTTTATCTCTAGCAAGGAAGCAGAGGCATCTGCAGATCGTGGGGCAACCTGCTACCTGGAGTTCCGGGGGCACAGAGTTAAAAGAGGCGTAGGGCCAGCAGGCTGGGGAGAATCAGGACCATTTCTTAGAACAACAAACCAGTATAAAGGGATTTGGGTAGAAGATGTTGAGAGGTTTGGAGGGGGAGTACCTTTCAATTTGGACAAGACGATTTTTGTATCTCTGGGGCCCAGGAGGTGCTTGATAAATGTTTATGGAATGATTTATTTCTGGTACTTTTTCAGTCCATCCTATTAATATATTGTTTGTGTATAACCTTAGGATCACATTTAATTCTACTGGACTTCACTCTGCTTTTGATAGAACATTTCTTTCATTTACTTAAGAAAGGTATACGGAATGCCTACTGCATGTCAACACCAGTTAATTTTTAGGGCCAAGATATGGTGACTGCTCTTCGTGAAAAGAAGGCACATAGAAACAGACATACAATGTTTACGTCCGTCAGCTCACTCTATGTTTGGGCATTACCGTCTTTTTTTCTTTTAATACCCCAAACCGTGAATAATCGTGTTCTGCGTAGTATATCTTTCTCTCCTGGCCAAGTTAAAGGAGATCCTGTATGGTGACTTGTGTGTTGCAAGACTCTGTATGTATTATATAAATTCTTTACGTAAAGGAAAGTGATCTTGTAGAGTCTTGAGGTTCAGCAAAGGGTAGAATCCAGCCTACTGTCTTTTGTAGACCTTGTCCAAAGGAGTCTAGTCAGTAAGCGCTCAAAACGTTTTTCATTTAAGGCTGTTTTACCCATAAGGCAGCCACATAGCATGGACCCATGTTAGTAAGATTTCTTACTGTTTTGTCTTTTCTAAAAAGATGCAGCCCCTTGCGGGTAAACATCAGTGAAGGCATAGTTAGGTTTGGAAAGGAATCAGGAAAGTGCACAGGTTTCCTTAGGGAATCCTGCTTCTTTAGAGCTTCCTTTTCCTGACATTTATACGTGGAGAAGACATTGCCTTAAAACTGGAAAGACAAAGAGAGGTCAACTAGTGCTTCGAATCTCAATCTCTTAATACTTCCTGCCCTTTTTTGTTTTTGTTTTGGAATCAGAGAACTCGGCTTCACTGTGACAGTCAGAATAAGCCCACTTTTTCTTTCTTTCTTTCTTTTTTTTTTTGCGGTACGCGGGCCTCTCACTGCTGTGGCCTCTCCCGTTGCGGAGCACAGGCTCCGGACGCACAGGCTCAGCGGCCATGGCTCACGGGCCCAGCCGCTCTGCGGCATGTGGGATCCTCCCGGACCAGGGCACGAACCCGTGTCCCCTGCATCGGCAGGTGGACTCTCAACCACTGCGCCACCAGGGAAGCCCAAGCCCACTTTTTCTGAGAAGGACTTTTAGAGGCGTTTGGTGCCCTGTGAACATCTTGGTAACGGAAAAACCTGCATCCCTCCTAGACTGGCCTGTGTCTCCCTAGGTTATGCCCAGCAAGGTCTGGTTCAGACTTCATTTTACGGTTCAGGAAGCTGAAGTAGAGAAAGGCAGGTGGCTTGTCTTGTATCAAGTAGCAGGTCAGCGCAGTTGGGAAGCGAGTCCAGGTCTGGGGAGCACCAGCCCCGGCCTGTCCCCTGACCCACACACCGGCGTCCGTGGTCTGAGCCTCTGCGGTGCCCCTGCTTGCCTGCAGTCTGCACCCATTCCATCCCAGTGCGTGCAGGCAGCTCAGCTTTTTCTGTTGTCCACACCTTCAGTCTTCAAGTCTCCCCGGCCCCCGGCCCTCTGCTCCATCCCTCCCAAATGTGCTTATGCGAGGATACTCTCCCCCTCTCTGCAGAGCGCATCATCGCCAGCCAGCCTGTGATCCGGTTCCAGGAGATCTTTCCCCAGGCGGTATGGTCAGGGCTGCTCCCGACTTCTCTGGCTAAAGGAAGGACAGTTCAGTTACCCATTGTCCCCTGGGGACGCCCAGCGTGTGTCCTCTAAGAAGCTCCCCGCAACCAGCCCGTTTCCAGCCTTTCCCACATCTCTCAACTTTCCTCTCCTTGACTTGGGCAGTTGTTGCACTTTGCTACGTTCCATGCTTTCGGACGCCCCGCAGTCAGACAGACCGTGCGCTGTCTTCTCAGGACGTCAGCCAGCTCCGCTGCCCTCCTTCACAGACCCCTGTTTCCTTCCTCCTCGGTCCCAGGTCCTGACTGTTGTTGTGGTTTGCTTTTAGTTTTGATTTTAGAAGAAGCGTTTCTAAACGTCAGCCCACAGCCAGGATCCCCCTTGATGCTTGTGCCTTCCTTCCTCCACCGAGGAACCTGGACTTCCACGTGAAAAGACCAAGTGTGCAGAATTCACACTGTAGTTTCAGTCTTGTAATTTTCAGAGCTACAACTTCTAGGGCCGTGAAACTAAGGTCATGACAAAGCAGATTTGCTCTTAGAAAGTTCCAGGATCCTCATGACTTCTTTCCCCGCCCAAGACAGCACTTTATCATAGAATTCAGTCCCCGCAGCAGAGGTGGAGCCTTTGGAAAGAGAGCATCCCTTTTGCTGTGATGTGTCACGGTTCATGTGCAGCAGGCAGTGACCCAGGAGCCAGGCCGTGCGCCTGTCTTCATCTGGCTTGGCCGGTGCAGCTCTCGCCAGGGATCCAGGAGGGAGGGCAGTGGCAGCCACCGGCCAGCGCCAGCTAAGATCAGCGTGCTGCAGGTGGACGCATGTGCAACGTCCTTGATCTAGAAGACCAAGAACAAAACCCCTGCAGGCAGGAAGCTCCTTCTTGCCGAAACTGCGCTGCTAACCTAGCCAGGAAGGTTTAGCTTTGGATGCTGAAACTAACACCAACCACACTGGCATACAGATTGATCTTTCAGAATTCCTCTGGGACCTCTTCCAGACACACCCTGTTCCCCAGACATCTTGAGAAACTTGTAAATTCTGCTGACTCTGCATGACTTAAATTGTGCTTGGTCATTCATTCTCATAAAATCTGGAACATGATTTGTTGTTTCTATATTGTCATTGTCGCAGGTGTTTGAAGTGAAAAGAGTTTTATTACAAATTAAAATATTTCTCCTCTCAAGCACATGCCCACACAGAGCAGAATTGTAAATTTGGAAACCTGTGTTCCTTCTGTGTTTGCTTATGTTAGATGGTAGACAGTTAATATTTTTATTATTTTAAAAATTGAAGATACTTACTTGAAAACAGTATATAAAAGTTGCCTTATATTCAGTAATGTCTTCATATATTAATTAGCTAAATATCTAACTAGACAACACAAAATACCTACATTCATTGTGCAGTTAGTGCTACAGAGAAACCTGGCTAATATGATGCTGAGTGCATTAAAACGTGATGGTATTAAATGTGCCAGATTTATCTGCAAGAGCTGTGTTTTTCCTAATAGATACTTTCTGTGGGCCTTTTCCTTTTCTTGTAGTTGAAATCGCAGGCATTTAGTAGAGTGACTGTATGAGTGTGTATACATACCCTGGCATTAGACTTTTATTTTAACACCCAGATTAGAGAGAAAAAAAAAAAACTACTTCCCTTAATCTTTGTAAAGATACTGGCTGATGACAATTTAAGAGGATAGTATGTTTGAAATAGCTCCTAATACATCTAGGCATCCTCTAATGTTATTATTTATAGAAAATATTTTATAGCTGTATAATTTGAATCATGTTTAAGTAATATTTATTAAGTACCCTCAGTGCAATACAGATACTTTGGTTCAAAAAAGAAAAAAAAAATCCTCTGAGGAAGGAAGATTCTTAAAAGAGAGGCTTGCACCTGGAGTCGGTAATCATTCCCATTTCCAAAGAAGGAAGAAGGGGTGGCCTTTGTTTTGGTTTTGTTTTGGTTTGGTTTGGTGGTGGATTATTTTTTCTTTCGCTAATTTACAGTGGTATCTCTGGCCCCATTTCCATTAGGAGACGAAAGCATGGAAATTAAAAAACAAATTACAGGAATGAGAAGATTACTGAATGACAGCGCTGGGAGGATCTACCAGCGTGTGGGCAAGGAGGGGGAGAAGTTGAAAGAAGAACCCCAGGATCTGGATTCGATGTGGCCTCCGCGTTTGAACCCTGTGGAGGCCCTACCGAGCCTGCACCCGTCTTCCCGGGGTGCGTGGAACGAGCTACCAGCCCAGAGCGGGCGGTTCTCAGGGCAGTATGGTACCCGCTCCAGAACCTTCCAGAGCCAGTCCCACGCCGCCGGGAGCTCCAATGGTATGGCTGTCATCAGATGCTCACAACGCTTCCGGGGCCGTTGCCCCAACGTGTTTTCTGTCTAAATATTCAGCATGTTCTTTGAGTTCAACATATTAAACCCTCCCTTAATCACCCACCCGCCTTAGCTGAGTTATCTTAAAAGACCGGGAAGACATAAAGGAAGAAGTTGAAGAGCATCAAAAACCAGAATTGAGACGCAGGAAAACCTGGGGGTTCTCCATTAGAAGGGATAGTTTCTTGGTAGAGATTTTAGCCCTTTAAGAGGTTTAAAGCCATCATTTGCAGAGATAACGATACTATTGTCACAAAAGACTGAACAGTTAGGGCAGAAAGAGCTCCTCCCGCTCTGTCATTAAAAGAAGCTTCCTGGTCACGCGGCGTATTAATACGTCCCCTGGCCTAGGCTTGTGCTTTCTTCATTATCGGAAGAGTCAGATAAAGGCAGGACTGATGACCCCGCCCCCAGGTGACACCTTCACTTCAACCTCACATTCAAGCTACTGAACCTGTTGAGCCATATTTTACAACCTGCTTCATTCAGGTTGAAAATTATTCCTTTAAAGTAAAATTTCCTTAATTTAAATTCCTAATTTTTTTTTACTAATTTTTATTGGAGTCCAGGTGATTTATCATGTTGTGTTAGTTTCAGGTATACAGCAAAGCGAATCAGCTATACACATACAGATATATCCCCTCTGTTTTAGTTTCTTTTCCCATATAGGTCACCACAGAGTATTGAGTAGAGTTCCCTGTGCTAGACAGTAGGTTCTTATCAGTTATCTATTTTAAATTCCTAATTGTTAAGAAAAAAAAATCAAATGGCAAACTTTTTTTCAAAGCATAAGGAAAAACTTGATGATTTCTCCATTCACGTTAATTTTCCCTCCAGTGACATGAGATGTTACTCGTTCTATAAATTATGTACAGATGTGCAGAACTGTAGTTTTCACACAGAGAACAAGAAGAAAGGAAGAATGCGTTTTCAGTTTCCTTGAAAAGTTAAGGATTTTTTTTTCCCCATACATCATCCTTCAAGAAAAAGAGAACTACTGTGATTTTATTTTTCTTTTTAAACACAATTTGCAAGAACCAGTTCAGAGGTATGAAGAGCCATTCTGAGCCACTGCTGATGAGACAGGGAGGGACCCCAAAAGATGTATGGGTGTCTTCTCTCTCTCTTAATTTTACATAAGCCAATATCAGATTCACATGCTGGCATGCTTCCAGGTTAGAAGGAGATGGCTCTTTTAAGGCTCCTTCATAAAAATAAAAGGGCAGTTCTCTTTAAAATTAGAAAATGATTTATAACAAGCTGAAAAGGGTTGGTTTTGTCCTCTAAAAATGATAAAGATAGGCTTGGAATAGTGACTAGGAATATTCTACAACGTCCTCCTAACTCTACTGCCATGGGAGAAATGATGAGAGAACTAAAATAGCCTTAGGTATGTATGAAGTTAGTAAGCCCCGCATCAATGAGCGTCGGGTGAACAATGTTCTGTTTTCCAGGATACAACAAGGATAGTGGATTTACTTTGGAAAATATTAGTAACGGTAAAAGTTGAAAACATGAATTCCCCCATATTCGTTTAAAAATAGATCTTTTTGTGCTGATTGCTTGCATAGTTTCGATAGGAATGCATTTGGCGTCTCGTTGGAATTATCTGCACTTTTAAAGTTGTAACATCTCAATGTGCTACAACTCTGAATGTAAATAATTACGCTGTTCCAAAGATTAAGTATATCCACAAATAATGCATATTGCGGGATGTAAATTACGTTTAACGTATACTAAAAGATATCACTGGACCAAAACCTTAGAGCTTCCCTCTTCCACCTGTGAAAAAACCGAAGCGATAGCAGTCTCTCACCCTGCTCCACTTAAAGGTAGCAGGGTTGGATACTGAGACTGCGCTGAAAGCGTGTTTTTCCAAATGTCCCGTTTTATTACAGGGATAATAGGAAGATATTTGTAAGGGAAACAGGATAGTTTCATGAAGGAAAAGATACTAAATTTAAACAGTGGAAAAGAGACTAAAGTGCAATTAAAGAAATGGGAACGGAAAAAAGATGTAGAAGGATCTCCTTTATGTAGCTGGAGAAAATCTAACACCCCAGCCCCCTCTAAACCCTCAAGTTCAAATGGATCCTCCCAGACCCTCCTGCCCCCGCTTTCTCCATCCCAGACATACCACACCCAGAGTGAAAGTTTAATGTGTTGACCGTTCTTAATTTTTGGAATAACATGATTAATGCTAAAACTATTTTTTAAACAGACACATTTAATTCTTAATATGAACCCTCAGGACATATCCAACTACCAGGTTTTGTTTTTGTTTTTTTTGGTAACGCTGTTCTCAGAGCTAGTTTTTTGTGCAATAGCATGAGCGTGTTTCTAGTGAATTTTTCTGGAATTGTTTTCTGAGATGAACTGGGGTGTCAGTAGGGAGGCCTGCCGTGACAGTGAATTGTGTGTGTCCGTTCACGCAGGCTCTGCCACCCGAGACACAGCACGCACCTGACAATAGAGAAGGCTGGATAATTAGACGAAGTCAGACCCCAAAATTTAGGCTGTCCAAATTACTGGGTACATGTTCCTCAGGCACGACTTCACAGTTAACTGCACAGGCTTCAGAAGCCTGTCACGGTCCCTTCCTTCTTTTTTGGTTGTTTATAATCTTGCTGTTGCTTGGCGTCCGTCATTCTTTTCTTTCGTGCTCAGGAGAACTTCCAGTGGTGAATTCGTCAGTTGGATCAAACTGCTGTACTTGTAACTGCCAGTCGACGTTGCAGGCCATTCTCCAGGAGCTCAAGGCCATGCGGAAACTGATGCAGATTCAGGCAGGTACGGAGATCAGGCCTCGGATGGAGGCCTCGGGTTTTGAATGCATACGTGACAGTCAGGATGTTCATGGTGCTTTGATTACTCTCTGCTTCCCTCCTTGCTATCTTTTTTTTTTTTTAGTTTTTTTAAAAAACATTTTTACTGGAGTATACTGGATGCCATGCTTCTTCAATTAGCCATTTTCTCCACTTTTTCTACAACCCATCTTCCCATTAGCAACTCTAACAAATGCTTTATGGCTGGTACATGTGCTCCGGATACTTCACCCCGACTCCCCACACTTCACAAATGTCAGCTAATTAAACTTTGAAACAATTATACCCGAAAGTGGGCAGAGCTGCTCAGGCTCATTTTCCTAATGGGAATCAACAAGGAGGTTCACGTCAGGGAAGGAGGTGAGAACGGCTCATCTTCCCTCCTGAGGGGCTCGGTTTGGGGGCTGCATGCATCTCACACACTCCCACTCCTGCACAAGTTCCACACACACACACACACACGCGCGCGCGCGCGCCCCCTGCACTGGGCTCCGTGTGACAGGTGGGGAGCCACGCATTTTTGTGCACACGAAGGAGCCCTTAGGAAGCGTGGGCTCCGCCGGTGAAGATTCCAGAGCATCAGCTGACAAGAAACGTTGGCCCTCGGGCCCTGCCTGTGGCTTTTCTCCTTAACATTCAGGTCAGAGAAACTCAGAGACACCTCCTGTTTTGTCTTTTTATTTACACGACGCTTTTTTTGTTCTCGGCCCTGTTGGACAAGTTGAAGAACAGAAGAGCAGTGAACTTGCAGTTTGGGGTCAGAGTCCCAGTTTCTCCTGTCCTAGCTTGTTTAACTTCTCTGAACCTCAGATTTCTCATCTGTAACTGGAGTATTAATATCTAACTCACAGGGTTGTTGTGAAAATGGAATGAGATAGTAAACGGAAATGAACTCTGTAAGGCATGATCCGAGCCTCAGCTATTTCGTTAGCGTTGTTATGAAGACCTGTAGCATTTCATAGAGGTCTAGAAGTCTAGGTCCTTATTATAGTGGATGTGTTTTGTAGTCTCCACAATTAGGGGAGAAAAAAAGGACATTTTTGTGACAGGTACAGAAAGTAACAAATCATTTTATTAAACCCTCCCCCTTGTCAGGAAAAGCTGCTCCTTGAGCAGGAAGATAGCACTGTCTTTTATGACTATCCTCCCTAACCCCCTTTTCTCTGTAAAGGTATTGAGAAAGGTCACTGTTCAGAAACTGTACCTGGTGCCGTTTAGTGCATTCTAGTAAAATTTTAATATTCAATGATGTGGTTTGATGTAAAAAGCTTCATACTAAAACGTATCAGTCACCCAAGATCACGTGAAAGTAAAATGGGCAAAAGGCTTTCTGAGAAGCGACATCTAATTTTATGTGCTGGATTTGGTCTTATCCCAAGGGGAAAAAAAATAAGCATTTTGGTCAGGCCAGTAAGCATTTAACTCACCTTGTTCCACCAGGATAATCTGTGTTCTTATTAACCTGGTAAAGGCTAACATCTGCTAAATGAGGAGCTCAGAAAGAAAGGTTACTTCATCCGGTACAGATTCTTTCCTCAATGGAAGAATTTGTTAGCACTTAAGAAAATGTGCGTAGGAAACTGTAATGATTTATTTTGTTACTTAAGCTCCTTACTCCTGAAATGGCAAACTACAAATTGCAACCCTTTAAATCCTTGACTGAAGCCTTTTTAGGATCTATTAAGTAAATGCCGCTATGTCACCCTGTTTTCTTTTCTGAACCTCTGCAGATTAGGGTGGTAAGCGACTCCAAAGCTGTAGGAGAACCCAAAGGATAAACTGAATAAATTACTCTCCTTTCCTTAAACTTAAGAATTTTGTTGAGTGCGTAGATTTACTTAAGGTTTATTGCCTATAAAACGTAGATTTAAATTCTATTTAGAAAGTTTCACCTTTACTTCAGGGAGAAAGCCAGGATTAAGATCAAGCGATAAGATCTGGATACAACAGACTACGGCTGCTCTGTCCAGACTTGCGGAAGGAGGAGAAAAACTTAGACAGTACCTGTGTTCTTTAAACTTAAATCATTTTGCTTTTAATTTTGGAAAGTGAGGCTGGAGTCCTAGACTGTAGATAATTGCTTCGGTTGTCCACCTGACTTTCGGGATGGAGACCCAGCCGCCTCGGGTGAAAATCTGGACCAAACAGAGAAAAAGTTCCTGTCCGGCTTGCATAGTAGGATCACTTGAGGAGCTTTAAAAAAATCCTGATGCCCAGGCATCACCCCTGGAAATTCCAATTCAAATTAATCTGGGGTGAGGCTGAGGCACTGGCTTTTTTTTTTTTTTTTTTTAAAGCTCCAGGGTGATTCTAACATGTAGCCGAGGTCGAGAACCGGTGAGCTAGACTAATTACTGCATGGGCGGTCCAGAAACTTCTCTGCTCATTTTACAGTGCAAGAAGTTTGTTTCTAATACTTATTCATAAATTTCTGTCCAGCCTAGAGATGCAGATATCAAGTTCAGACTACAAATATTCTTTATTTCCAACCTGATAGGAAAGGATCCATATGGTGTGCACGTAAAGATCTTTAGATTTTCATTTGGCTTATTTTTAGAGGTGTACTTCTGTAAAAAAAAAAAAAAAAAAAAAAAAAAAAAAGCAGCTATGTCCTGTGGTTGTATTTATCAAACCATATCAACACATGAAGATTTAAGTAGTAATGCCATATTTTCCTACTAAACTTTGCATCATTTTTATTTATTTATTTATTTATTTATATATTTGGCTGCGTTGGGTCTTCGTTGCTGCGCGCGAGCTTTCTCTAGCTGCGGTGAGCGGGGGCTACTCTTCGTTGCGGTGCGCGTGCCTCTCATTGCGGTGGCTTCTCTTGTTGCGGAGCACGGGGTCTAGGTGCGCGGGCTTCAGTAGTTGCGGCACGCAGGCCCTGCAGCTCGAGGGCTTCAGTAGTTGCAGCACTCGGGCTTCAGTAGTTGTGGCTCGTGGGCTCTAGAGCGCAGGCTCAGTAGTTGTAGTACATGGGCTTAGTTGCTCCGTGGCATGGGGGATCTTCCCAGACCAGGGCTCGAACCTGTGTCCCCTGCATTGGCAGGTGGATTCCTAACCACTGTGCCACCAGGGAAGCCCCCAGAGTATTTTTAAATGGTTAATAAACGTTACTTCTCGAAGGGCACCAATGAGAACTGTAATTAGCATCCTTGGTTCCCTTAAGTACCTAGGCAGCATCAGCACCCAGTTCTTGCTGGGTGCTTTTCGTCTTTGGAACTCAGACTGTTTCTGGGTCTTACTGATTGGCTCTCCTCGTACAGAATTATAGCCTTCCTCTTTTTCAGCTACATGAAACTGAGGCAGAGAGGAGCAGCCTGGTCGGAACCCAGGAGAGCAGTGTGTGGAGATAGTTGGTGTGTGAGGCCGGAGTAACTGGACCTGAAGTTGACCAGCAGGCCTGGCCCACATGCTTACTGGTCATTCCTGAATGACGCTTTTGATCAGCTTTGCCCCAGTGACCGTCCTTGCTCAGCCTTTGTCAGTTTTGGCACCTGCAGGTTGCTGGCTACTGATCAGTTTAACCTCAAGTGACAACTGGAATATTCCTGAGACTGGCTTGCCAGAAAGCATGAACGTCCACACCGCAATTTAATTTCCGGAGTTCTCAGTTATACAAGAGTGTCATGGGATGCGTAAAGTCATGCTTCAGTGTTTTTTCAGAGCTCATCATCCCTTCCTCCTGTCGATTACCCACCAGCATTTGGAGCAGAGTATTCTCTTGGGTTTTTCTGCCTGTAGACCTTTAAGGCTGCATTTGGTTATCTTCAGGTCCACCGTGAGGTTGATTTCAGCGTGCCTCGTCCTTGAGTGAACCCACTTCAGCCTCAGTTTATGAAGCAAGTACATACTCCTGAGTTAGAGACAAGTGCCTGTACCATGTTTTTGTTTGTTGTTCACAGTTGGAACCCAGAACAGACAACAACCCCCAATTTCCCTTATCTGCTCCCAGCGAACTGCCGTCTCACGCAAGAGAAATAAAAAGAAAAAAGTGCCCCTGAAGACTGTGGAACCTCTCACTGTGAAACAGAAGCCCAGTGCGTTAGAAGCCGAGAAGAAGGCGGTGGCGGCCCCCGAGAATCCCAGTCTCCCCTCGGCCGAGCACACCTCCCCCAGGGAGAACCACATCCTAGGATTTGGCATCGTACTCGAATCACCAGCCTCTGATGTAAGTTGATGTTTTCTGGCTGCTGACGCTAATGTGTAACTTTGCCCTTAACTAGTTCTGCCCAAGAAGACCAGGGAAACTTGCAGAATACACGTGGGAAAGAGGAAAGGAAAACTCTTAGTAATTCCCTTGCCCAGGATTTTCTCTTCTGAAAATCTTAGGCCTTATTTCCTTAAACATGCTTGCATTCTCTCCAAAAGGAGAAGGATGATGAAGTTCTGCTCACTAATTTCGTTAACATCTTTAACTTTGAAGCAGCCGTTTTCAATTTCCTCAGCGTAGTGAGCTAAAAGAACATAATTGAATCCTTTGTAGATGGGCATAAATGAACAGAACCCTACAGGTAAGGTCACACCTTTCTAGAAACGCAAACTAATAATAAAAAAAAAGAGCAGTGGTGCTACTTCTGTTTTATAGATGCAAGCCACACCGCTAAGTAAGTCGCAGTGCCGTGCCACTGAGTCTGTGTAATGATAGGTTAACTAACAGTCTGCAAAGGTTTTTCTATTTAAATATCATCGCTAGAAGGTCGTCGCAGCCCAAGATGCTGAATGGCATCTGAGACATTCGTCTGACTTACCATTTTATAGTCACACGGCCATAAACGAACTTCTTCAGTAATGTGCTCTGTCGGCCACGGCGTACCCTCCTTGCAGTACCTTGATCTGAGTACACTGATGCCGTGAACTCCAACTCGTTGGGAGAGTTCCTAAAATAAACAAGGATGGGTGAGCTATCATTACCAGATGGCATAGGATGAGAATCTCGCCGAGAACTCTCACAGGCCTATATAGGATGAGAGTTTGGCCCCACCTCTTCAACTTTAAATAAGAAATACATCGCTATTTTAAATCAGTTCCTTTCAAGCTGCAGACAGACGGTCTGCTAGCACGGGTCTTTATAAAAGGGAGGCAACAAAAAGAATCATCTCGTGACTTGGTTAGACTAGAAAATCATTTGACCTTTTATCCAATCCTTGGCGTGAGGGGTTCCTGTTTATTTGTTTCTTTACCCACGAACACACACACAATTGTTAAGAAGTTCTTCTAGACTAAAAACTTAGTTTTAAAAAATCATTAATGACGACAGCATTCTACCCTGGACCAGCTGGCTCATTTAATCCTACCCCATTGTTACTGCAGCCGAGGCCCTGGTTTCAAAGCCCACGTGGATCACACGTTTGGAAGCAGAGGTAAATGATTCCACAACACAAAGTACATTCAGTCTGAAGCAGTTTTCATAATACTTCTACATTTTTCTTGAATGTTTTAGGCCTTCTTTTCTGTGATAGGCATTAAGGTATCAGGAGCAGTCATTTGAGTGGTGAAAATCGTCTCCTGCGTGAGTCGATCTAATGCTAATAACTGAACTTGCTCCTTTCTAAAAAATTCTTAAGGTCTAAATGTACTTCAGAGATAAATTGAGAAAGGTCTGTTAAAGGCTTTATGTACATTAGTGAAATAGAATAGAATTTTTCTTATCTTTACCAATACCAGTATCGTAATTTGAATACCAAAAAATAATTTGCTTTTTATTCATGATGATTTTTGCTAACAAGAGGTGTTAAATTTAATAAAGCACGTTCAGAATTGTCCATGTAAACTCAGTTAGGTGCTGACTGTCTCTGACTGGAGAATAACATGCTTCTAAAGAAAAGCAAAAGCGTACACAGATATTATCTTTACATCATCCAACTCATATGCCCTTTGATTCATCTATTCCACGGAAATTGTCACTGCACCTAGAGGACCACACAGTGAGTCCCATCATCAGAAACTGTGTCCCCGGATAGTCTTGATGGCATGCGTGAGGCTGGCCCTTTAGGTGGTGAGACCATCAGTGCTAAGGCATCTGAATCTAGGTGCCCTTCTAGTCTTCTATTATTTCTTAGCCATGAGCCTTTTAAACTTCGGTGGAAGTCCAGAGGAGAAAACAGAAAATAGATCATAATCTTGTAGGAATTATTCTATAAAATCAATTGGAGAAAAGGTAATATAACTGGATTATATATAAGAAGATGGGCATTGTGTATCTGAAGATGGGCTCTGAAAAGTACCCAGTGTTGGGACGATTAAGTCCAAAGTTATAGGACTGGGCGTGTGGTCCATTGTAGTTGGAGCAGCTGTGTGGCCTGCACTGATAGCAGATGATGATATAAACATGGGATCGAGTCAGACAGTGAAAGCCCTGATGTGTCCTGCCGAGGCCCTTGGGCCTTTTTTATCTTGTGGGCACTAGGGAGCCATTGCAGATTTCAAGTAGAGGAATAATCATACCTGTGTTTAGAATGGAATCTGGAACAGCACTGTGGATGATTGATGAATATAGAAAAGAGACTAGAGGCAAAGAGAGCAGGAAGAAGGTAATTCCAGGCGGCCAGGCAAGAGATGGGGAGCATCTGTATGTGAGCAGTGAGCCTGCAGGGACAGAGAAATGAGAGGCCCCCGGGGGTGCCCACACAGAGGACCTGGTGGCTCAGGAGAAGTAAGCCCCGCATTTCTATCCCGGAAAACGAGGTTGGTCACTAGATGCTACTGATTTCCTTAACTGAGACAGGGAGGACGGAGCAGAAGCAGGCCTTCAGTGCTGGATGGGAAGTAAAAAGAAGCCGAGTGTCCTCAAAAGGTCATTAGACGTTTGGAGCACAGGAGAAAGATGAGAGCGGGAAGCAATGAAAAAAGGACACATAAAACCTGTGCTTTATTGTTTTTTAAATGTAAAAAAAAAAAAAAAACTACTGTAAATTGTTTAAAGTTCACAATGCATTATCTTTTTTTGCTGTGACTTTTGGAGTCACCCAAATACAAATTTGTGTATCTAGGCACAGGCACGAACGTGAGGGGCTGTAGATCACTGCAGGTGGACTGCCAACCCTCTGACCCCTGACGGGTATCCCTGCTCAGTGCAGAGAAACAGGGAGCCCTACTCAAAACCAGCTACAGCCCAGCACCTCGGAGTGCTGTCAGCACTAAATGACCTGGAGCACATAGGGAAATCCTCCTGCGGTGCCTGGCACATAAAAGGTACTCAGCATATGGCCAAACGTCTCCGTTTGTGTTAAGCACAATATACAAAATCACCTTTTAAAACTCTGGGTCTAGGACTTGGCGTTAATCAGAACCCTCTCCTCAGTTTAACTCCTATTTTCTTGTTCTTTCCCTGTTATTCCTCACTGTGCACACATCCCCCCGCCCAAAGCACCAATATGATTTCAACAATCCTTTATAGGACTTGCTACACCAGTTTGTAATTATTTACGTGATTTCCTCTCCTTCCCCCTTGGCTTCTCAAGGGCAGGGAATAAATTTTAAAATAATAATAATAATAGCATTAATAGTAGCAGTAGCAGTAGCGTTTGTGTGCTATCCTTTGCCAAATAATTTTTCGAATTTCATCCTTACTCTTTGAGGTACTAGTGTTATCCTCAATTTATAGATGAGGAGACGGTGGCATAAAGGGCTTAAGTAGCCTGCTCAAGCCCACAAAGCCAGAAAGGGGGAGCTGGTTCCCAGACCAGGGCTGAGTGTGCCCTCACCCACCGAGTGCCAGACTTGGGCCCCTGCTCTAGCCCTGTTCTTGAACGTGACCACCGCTCACTAACTGTTCATGAGACGATTGTGACACAAAGGAGACCTGGAAGGTTAGACTATGGCTGTGTGTGCTGTTTACTTGGAAGTCTCTGGGGGAGACCTTCATGGTTAAGGGTGCAGCCTCTGAGGTCAGGATGCCCAGGCTACAAGCCCGGCTGTGTGACCCCGAGCAAGTGCACCCACCCTCGCCTCCCTCAGTTTTCTCTCCATAAAATGGGAATGATGACAGTGCTAACCTCAGCGACGGGGCTGGCTGGAAGAGTTAAATGAAGACATCTATGTAAAGCACGTAGAATATAGTACCTGGTATGTTTTAAGCACTCAGTAAATACTGGGTCTTTTTTAAACCTTAGCAGTCCTAGCTAAGTACCTTTATAGGCGTAAATATACATGTTTGTTAAGTAAACTTATGTGTACATAGACACGAACAAATACACAGGAGCTAATAGTGTTTTTAAAAAGAGAGTGGCCAGAAATCCTGCCCCTCTTTGGGGGCAGGATTACTTGACCCATTTTAAGTTAGCACATTAAATAAAATTGAAACCTGAACGACACAGAAGCAAAAGCAGAAACCCCAAACCAAATTTCATATTTAAACACAATATTTAATTCTTTCTTTAGGAGTTCCCAACCCAGGATTCTGCCAGTACTCAGACCAGACAGTTGGGAATATTTTGCAGTCACTGTTTCTCCCTACCTGGTTGGATTTATTGGTTTTTCAGGGCAGATGTACGTGGCTTCGTTTTATTTCCTTGTTGTTGCTTCTTGTTGGGCTTGTCCTTTGGCCACGGTGAAACACTAACATCAGTTTTTTTTAAATATTTCAAAATGTTTTTTAGAAAACATAGGAAGTGTTTTTCTATTTGGTGTCGTTACTATGAATACTTTCCAGTAATCCTAGGCAACACAGAAGTTATCAGAAGATACAGCTGTGGATACCCATCAAATTAAGATCATTTTGTTAACGTTTATGTCATTCTTAAAATAAATAATTTAAAATGCATTGGTGCTTTCAACATAAATAGCTCCTGAATTCAGACTCTGTTTTCTTAATTTCTTCTTAGCCCAATAAATAAAGTGATCCGCTGGGACCTGGTAAAGCAAATCAATCGAGCAAGTGATTTTTTAATTTATTCGTCGACACACTGAAGTCAAGGCAGTCACATGCTTGAGAGTTTAAGCTCTAGTGCAGACTGCCTGGGTTCACATCCTTGCTTCACCACTTATTAGCCGGCTAACCTTAAACAAGTTACCTAATCTCTCTAAACCTTAGTTTTTACATCTGCAGACTGGGGATCACGAAAGTGGCCGCTTCCTAGGACGATGAGAATTAAATTAGAAAACCCACGTAACGCGCGTTAGCCTAGGGCTTGGACTATAGTAAGTAGCGAAGACACGCTAATCGTAGCG